GCATCTAATTGAAATGAATGATCCATGTGAATGTGGTTCAGGTTATATGCGAGTAATCCGTTTTCTTGTGTCTTCACTTTTATTCACGACAAGGAACACAGGACAAAAGAATGTTGTCATCCTTACAGAAAGGAGAATGCGCTCCGTTATATGACAGTCTTGCTACAACTCTCCAATCATCTTGGATTAATATTACCCAGTAAGTTTTCTTTCCAGCACTGTACTTCTGACCTTCATTGTTACAGATTCAAATCAGAAGCCAGAACAAGTGAGTTTCTTCTATATTCACCCGAGTTCTGTTACCTGTTCTTATGCCAGACTGCAGCTTGCACGGAATAGAGAACTGGCAAAATGGATCTTCCCGGATAGTAATATGCCGAATCGAATACAGGTTGAATTCGGGAAAGATTTTTGTGGCAAGTGGAGGGTCAGTTTTCAAATCCCATATGTGTCATGGTCCTTTAACTGTAATCGGAGCAGGTACTAGAGACTCTGTTACAAGAAGTTCGGCAAGATCGTTCCAACAAAGTGCTTATATTCACAAAGTCTGTTCAACTGTTAAAAATTGTTCAAAATTACCTGGAGACGCAGCGTAAGCAGATAAAGCACTTGTTCTCGTCAATAGTGCTGAACGTATATAGCATATCAATATTGCGCTTTTTCGGGCGAGACGCCGCAAAAAGACAGTGAGATGAGGTCTCATAGTTACACTGTATTTTTTTTTACTGAAAATGCTGCATTGTAGGAATGGGTTTAATCGACGAATTTCATTCAAACCCGGAGATCTTCGTGTTTCTCATTTCGACTCTTGCCGGAGGCACTGGTCTCAATCTCACAGGTTTGCCGCTAACCCGGTTCCGATTTTTTGCTGACTGCTCCTCAACAGGTGCCAACCATGTCGTGATATTCGGTCTGTAGTCATAATACTGCTGCTGCTGTTGGCTTGTCTGAGTTTGGGCTTGACAGATCCTCACTGGAGTATGTCGTTTTGTCATTCTGCGTAACCGCTTCGCCCTGACGACTCTGTTAAGATCCCGCTCACGATCTGCAAGCCATGGACAGGTACGATGATCACCGATCTCGCCATTTTCACTGATTGAACAAGATCGTTCTTGAAGAGCGTATCGAATTGGTCAAACTCGCCCTGTCAAAGTTTATCGCCTACTCGGAGCAGGCGCGTTGGAAGAGTTGATATACAATTGTCAAGTTTACAAGCAACAGCAAATGCGGATCGGGTACGAAGCTAGTATACAGACTCGGTACGCCCTATCTTTGTTCCCTGGTGTTCCGTTCTCATCTCGTCCTTCCTTGTCAGCTACTTTGAAGGCGTCAAAAATGATCCACAGAAGCGGGGGGAACTTTTTGGTCTCAAAAATATATTCCGACTCGACGAGAGAAAGATAGCTACAAAAGCCTCAGTAAGAGCACAGTCAGTACTGATTTTCCCTTACGTCCTCATTTCGTCTTTTGTCTAGATTGAGGAAGCCAATCAGGCTCAACTCGATTGGGCTTTTGCTAATGTTGACACTAAAGGTATCAAAGGAGACTCAAATGACCTGGAGGTAATATACCAAAATATTGCACGTTACCGGTACTGACCTTAGTCTCAGAGTATGGCAGGACTAGATGATTTTGTCATGGACGACTCTGTTAAATGTGTGCATCTTTGTTAAATTGTCCTCAGCGTACTCATTCTGTGGTTGCAGCTGACCCTGTCGGAGAGGGAAAAGAGGGGAGCAGAATTGACAAAATTTTCGAGACCGTTGGCATTACCTACACACATGACAATGCAGAAATCCTAAAGCAGAATGATATCGAGGTAGAGAAGGCAAAAAATCTCCTTGTGCGCCAATGTCTGCTTTTGCCTCTGTACCCGCTAATTTCCTCACAGAGACAGTTGAAATCTTCAGGGAAGAGTTCCGGTCGCAGCTCCTGGCTGAATGACCATGATTCCCGGTCTCAAAAGGGCTCTCGGCGCAAAAGTGGTGCGAGCAAACGAAAGAGTGCCAACACTCCCGCTGAACCCGCTGAACCCAAGGCCCAATGGCCGCCTGTTCGAAAACACCATCACCCGAAGGTTACCCCCCAACAACAGTAAGCAGTATCTTGTTCTTCATTCAATACACATTGTCTTTATCTCTCTCATTGTAGAGCCGAAGCTCGTTACGAAGCACTCATTGACCTGGGGCTGATTCAAAGTTTTGATGACATTAAAGAAAAGTTTGTCCCTCAGTTGTAAGCATCGTTGGAACGTCTGGTGATATTTGTTCTGACCTTTTGGTGTCTGGGGCAGTCTTAAGAGCAATCTGGATGAACAGAAAAAGTGCTTGAGAGTTCTTGATGAACACAAACGACAAATGGACAAGGATAAAATGAAAGCAGCGGCTGTGCGTCAAGCCAACGGCAATGGTGACGGTGATAGCTCTGACTGATTTGACTTCACCGGTACATACGTATGTCACCTTTTGTTATGGGGACCTCTATACTTATTGATATCCTGCTGTCGTTTTAACTGTTGTATTTATCTTTTATGTATCTAACGCGTTTCTTGTGGTTTCTCGAAGATCGGCTGCATCTCCTGAATCACAATCGCAAGGCATTACTGTAAAATGATTGTAAGGGCAATATGATAATGAGCACCAGACCCTGAGCGCCGCTCGCATCGTTCAGAAAAAAATGGCATACTAGTATAAGAAGATTGGGCAATGGATACTCAGATATCTTGGTGCCAGTACCATGTAGGAGTTGGTAATATTCACTCAAGCAAAGGCTAAGCGCTAAGCGCTGCTAAGGATTGCTGTGCTCAAGTGCTGTGCGCGTGGCAGTGGGAATTTAGTCAGCGTCGCGTTGGGCGCTTCTTCAACTCGATCTCTCAACAGCATTTCTCTGCTCTTTTCTTCTCGTTCGCAGCGATCTTGAGCTGGAGCATTTCATAGAGAGCTGGTAAGTCTTCACATCTTCACATTTTTCAGGAATTTGGGCTCCTGCATGCACTTGCAACGCAGATCAATTTCTTTATTGAATGTTATTGTATTCTTGAAAATCGAAATGCTTAGTTACGGAGTGAGGATAAAACCATCAAACTAACCACTGCTTTCTCTTAGATTGCCAGACTGCCACTCGTGCTGCCATCTCTGAATCGAAGACTTCTACCTCCATAAATTGGTCGAAATTGCTTCCATACCTTATCCGGACTACTTTTACCAGTCGAACGAAGATGTTCATTCTCCTATGAATGCTTCGGCTGCTACTTTCGAACCGTCATTGGATCATCGTACTTATGGACACCCGCATCCGCTGGACCCAGTGAAGGACGCTCCTACAACTCGAGCGTTCGAACTTGCTGCACATTATGGGATCCCTCAATCACTCCCCGCGCCACCCAGAGCTCATTCGCGACCACCCGACTCGGAAACACAGACCTCACCCCGTTTAGACGTGCTACCCGATTTTGAGGCTCTCAGACAGAGTTATCTGAGGATGTTGTCGAGTGCTCCCTCAGAGAATCATGCTCCTACCACCATACCCGAGCCTTCCACACCAGCTCCTACCTCAATGCCAATGGCGCCAGAACCCCAAATCGATGAATCGTCATTGCAACCGATTATTGACCTTATCGAAGGTGATAATTCTATCCATCCTCGTTTTTTACGTTGTTAATACTTTCACAGCGTCGCCTGAGTTCAGGACGGCAAGAAGTTTTCTCACTTCGCCGTATACACCATACCTTGATGACTTCACTACTTCTCCAATGGATGACTCACCTTTCATGGCTGACCTCAATACGCCAATCATGGATCAAATCGATGATGAATTTGAGTATGGTGTTGTGAACACTGACTCTGCCTGTATGACTGATGATTTTGTCAATCCGCTGTACAATGAAACCAGTGTGTCGTACTATCCTCAACCCCCTGCTCAACCTGGACCTGACAAGAAGGAAAATCATGCGGCGGGGCTGTTGAACACTGAGAAGTTGTATACCTTTTCTCCGAGCAGTCCCCTTCTCGAGAACTTCTACTCTCCGATTACCCAACCCGTCCGCTCCCCTGTCACGCATCCAACTTCGTCGTTATACCCCTCTCCTCGCGCTCCTACGTCAGCGTTCTCCAAACCAGCCTCAGGTCGTAATCGCAGTAAATCACGTGGCCCGTCTATGTCCGCAACTGGTACCCGCAGAGACATCACTCCCGCGTCGATGGTGCCGCTTGATGCACCCACCCAAACAAGAAATTACGTGCTGCCTTCTTCAACCTCGCGCAAAGTCAACCCAATTCATGCTCAGAAGCGTTCATATTCGCAAGCCTTCGGTGACCAAGAGCAGGACGAGCTCGTAGCCGAAAGCCCTCCTGGACCCAATGCCACCGAGATCGAACATATTGAATGGAAGCGCAGGCAGAACACGATAGCGGCTAGGAAAACTAGAAGACGTAAGCTGGAGTATCTACAGCGCGTGGAAGCCGAAAACGTGGTTCTGCGAGATGAGAGGGATAAATGGAAAGTTAGATGTGGTGTACTCGAAGACATTGTTAAAGCTCACGGAGTGGCGGTCCCTGTCTGGGATGACGATTAGACGTTTGTGTCTATTGGACTTAGTACTTGTGCTTGAAATCTCACGATATGCTGATATTTTCTGTATTCCTTGAACTTTTTTGTTTTAATCATACACCCGACTCCAGACTTTATCTAATGTTTATCTCTTGCTCTTGTAGTACCATGGACCTTTCACGAAATTGGTTATATCTACATCCTCCTGTTTTGTCAACTATGTATATACATTTGTTCAGTGTCCGTACAATATCAAGTATCTTATCGTATGGCTTAGATTTGCAACCCTACTCCTTTCCTGTTCCCTTCTCTGCCGTTCATGGTAGCAATATATGCTGAGCCTAATCTTCAGGCTCTTTCAAGCTACCTTCAGGTCTCCAAATTTTTAAGAAAATATCACTGTAGATATACATGTGCAACCAGCCTCGGGCCAAAGCCTGAACAAAAAGTACGGGGCGAATCCGGATTCGAACCGAAGACCCCCTGCAATGAACTCATCGCCCAAAGCAGGTATCATACCTCTAGACCATACGCCCGTTGCACAAATGGCTAGTAGCTTCATATATATGTCTATTTCCAAGTAATATTGTCACCCTCATAGAAGGGACTAATTTAAGCATAACAGCAACCTCATTTTTATACATAATCCGACCCATTATGGTCTTCTGAATCTTTCTCTACTTCTCCGAATTCCTTTTCTGGCTCCACATCCTGCTTTATGTTAGACTGAGGTCCATGGTAGTGCCTGTGTCCATCGAGGATATACCATATGCTAGGAAGTGTTTAGTGTTCAGTCAATCGTAACGTCATCCAACTCACAATGCAAAAACCATGACTCCAACTGTGATAACTGATGCATAGTTCATTGTTTCTGGAGTGACGGGTAAGGTGACTGGAAATGAGAAAATGACACAGACGAAGAGCGTCCAACAGATGCAAATCCAGTTCGCAGCCCAGCCAAGCATGCCGCCGCCCATATAAAAAGGGCCTGGTTTGAACATCACGTCCGGGTGGTTTTGGAAGACTCGACGGAGGAAAATGGGAATAATGTAGCTCAAATCCAAAGCTATCGCGGTAAGAGCAAAGATAGCATTGGCAGCAATGGGACTCGCTAGATCGAGGAGACCAGGTATAATGCTGACGAGTGTGCATAGGATTATAGATCGAAGAGGCGTTTGTGTGACTTTGGAGTTATATCCGAAGAAGCCCCGGTCAGGTAAACCTATGGATGGGGAAATTCAGCGCACATCACTACTGTTATTCGATACATACCATGATCACGGCTAAATGCGTAAATGGTACGAGATGTAGCTTGAAGAGCCGTCTGAACGACGAAAAATGCGGTGAAACACACAGGGACCTTTTTTGGAGTGGTCAACTAAAGTCAAACCTCCTCAGATTGGTGATATAACTTACCCATAATATAAGGGAACCTGCTTTTCCCATCCTGAGATACATGACCTGGCTACCCATAGGCAATTGAAGTCTCAGTGAGATTAAGGAAGACCGACCTGTAAGAAAGCGGAACCAGATGCTCCAGGAAGATCGGCACTGAACAATCACGGTGAGTATTGAACAAACTCGTGAGCTTGTGCGAGTAACTCACAGAGGACCTGAACATAATACAATCACAATGTTCAAAAGCCATCCGAGCAGCCCTGTACCGATTACTATACTTATGTCAATACACGCCGTTAAGTTCTTTGAATGTTGCATGAGGTTGCATACCGGCTATGAAGATAGCAGTTGGCGCTGTAATGAGTTTGTTAACACCATTTTTGTTGCCATCAAATGCGATATTTTCTACCTGCATATGCCGCACGTTTGACCTCCTCACTTTCATGGGAATTCGTTCAGTATGCCCGTGCGATTGCCACACATAAAAACCATACCAGATATGCGCTGTGGCATCATAGTCCTAGAATAGCGTAAGGCTTAGCGCAGAACAGTCATATGCACGACACGAAGATCACTCACCGTCATCTGAAAACAAGATTAACCACCATAAGAAAAAGGACCGCGCGACACACCGAGCATTAGTTGACTCACCGTCCACTGAACGCTCAACAATCCAAAAACGAAAGCGAGTCCGTTATTCCAACCCCCGGTCTGGTTTACGATTCCCTGGCTGCCAAAAACATAGCCGGCAGCATGCATCTCCGAACGAGGAGTCGTCGCAAGTAGAACAATGATAATCACTATGAACATGAGCAAACATAGTACGGTGTTGATATGCTGGTACTCACGAATGGTTGCGCCTAAATTCACAAACACAAACGCGGAAGATATACGGGCCAACCAGCGCGTACCCAGACAATTCTGTGAACAGTTTAGGCTTGAGGACGGATTAGGGATTCATCTAAGAGTAAAAACAAACCAGACATCCGTGGACTATAAGAAGGACCACGAATAACCACACAGTTTTTGTCTGAAAATCGTTGGTGTGACTCCATATAAAGCAACAAACTACCAAGTTGTTACCTGAGTCACTTCGTAATTGCCATCCTGCGATGAAATCAGAAGCCATAGACTAATAGAATGTATTGTCGACTTGCTTTGCCTATCACCACCGCAGCCCATATCATGTTAGCCAAACCAAACTCTGTCGAAGACACTCCAGCTATTTGGCCTAAAATGGAACGATTATTGAGTTCAATATAGGACACGTTGGACTTGAGGCTGTATAGATCAACTTACCGAGGATATTTAGCCATCCCACTAGCCAGCCAACCTAAAATATCGAGTTGATAATCAGTTACTTTTTATAAGCCGATAAAGATCGTTTTACTCGTGCACGGTATTTCTTGGGGGTAAGCCGGGCAGAAGCTGTATACCTATGTATATCGGAAGAATAAGGAATCGAAAAAGCAGGTAATGCGAGATCGACTTCACATTCCACCAGACGTAGGATAAGCGCTAACGATTTCAGCGATACTGTGTCCGAATGTAAGTCAATACATTGATTCGCAGCTTTTGTGTCGCGTTCCATTTACCTTGAGCCAAGCGCCAAGCACATGCTTGCCCCCAAAATCCAACACCAAACCACCTATGTAAAGTCCTCGGATGGAGTTCTCAAAACAGACGGAATAGCAGAACCCACAGAAGACGGTCCTCCCGTTAAAAGCGGAGTATTGAGGGTCGTTGCGATGCTAGAGCACAATCCCTTCCATGGACATCGGTTCAGCACATATAACTCAAGAATTTTTCACCCACCATTATGCTAAAAGCAAAACTAATCTAATCAAACTTCGAATTAGGACTCCTAGGTCGAGTTGGAACCAAGACGTTACCGTAGCTAAATTGGAAAATTCGCGTTTGAAGGAGGGCACATAACCAAGAGCGACGAGCTCCCTATCATCGTCAGAGAATGCGGTCATGATGGTACAGTATCAAAAGAGTTATTTAGACTGATACAGCGTGCTCACAAATGTATAATACGATTGCAGATAAAGTGGCGTCCAATTGCAGGACTTCGGGAGCAGAGTTCAACGTGACAATTTCACGATAAGCATATCGATCGCAATGCGACACGAAAGAGACCAAGGAAACCATTTATGTGGACAGTATTTATCGAAAAATTGGGAACTAGTAATAGTCGAAAACTGCAGAAGCCTGAGAAGGCTGGTTCAGTGGTTGGATTTAGAAGCAAGCACTCCTTACATAATTCATAAGCGCCTGTTTTTTTTTCGTCCATTGATATAATCATGATCATCCTCCTTTTTTTCTTCTTCCACAGTGGGAAGACTTGTTGTGTACCGTCCGCGCCCTTCACAACAGAAAGACATTGCAAGCAAGGGCCTTCGGCGATTCTAGTACAAATAAGTACATAAAATCTGGCCAGGTTTGTTTAACGCTCCTACATACTAGTAGTACGCTGCACCTTGCGTTTTGTTTCTACAATACTTCCAACCGGAGCGTTGAGAGAGAGGCCTAGGATTTAGAGTATCGAAAATACAAGAATTTCTCCCATAAAGATAATCGTTTCAATCCGTCACGACATTGAGTAGTACCGGTTGAAACCTTCTAGAGAGAAACCTCACATAGTCTACAAAATTGGCAGATTCCCGAGAAGTGCAATGCACCAAGGCGCACTCACGCAGCCTGGGGAGGATTGCAAGTATTCAGACGCCGGGTCATATACTGTATGCTGTAAATATTGCATTCATAATGTGTTCCCCGAATGAGAAATGTGAAAGAACGAGATGATACGGTAGCGTTATCTATTTGGGACAGTGTGGAACAGGCTCCCGAATCTCAGGCGAGGATAGAAACGCTTGGGTTATCAGAAGCAGATGCCGCAGTATCGAAGTCCCACACAAAACAGGAAGTGGAAGTCTATTCGCCCACTCTATCACAGTTCGGCATTTACTTGAAAGAAATGCCAACACAAGAACATGAGTCGGAGAGGTAGGTATTATACACTTTGGTATACACCACTGCTCTCCGAGGTCCTGAATGCACTGGGCATGTGTCATAGTCACCTTGACACACAATATGTAAGTGCTTTGAATCTGAGTGCACAAGGCTAACCTGAGGCCAACACTGAAGTAGCCCTCCAGTCTACAATCAGCAATCCCACAAGTACTGACAGTAGGCAGGATGCTTGTTGCTCGTGTTGAGAAACAATCACTGACCAATATATATCTTCAACTTGTGGATTGATTCACTGAGAATCCTGTCATACGACGAGCACGCATAACTTAAAGCCTACGGTTATTTTGAGGGACGTATACTCACCTATGGTAACTGGCTGGTCTTCAGCCGCTTTGCATAAGCATTACTCTAGATCACGAAGCGCCAACTACTCATACGAGGGTGTTCTCATTATGAATAGCCACAAATATTACGTCGCAGGATTGAGGTGTATCCAAGCCCAGGAGCTCATAACGAATTTGCGTGTAACCTTCATTGAAAACGGAGTAGAAATGCTTCATAGTCTGACGAAGGAAAGGCACTACAGGCTTGGAAAGGAACGATCACTGACAGGGGCGGCTTTGAGTTTGCGCTGACCTTGGTGTAGTCCTCATCGGAGGGTATCACATCCATGCTTGTGGTTGCAAAAACCCGACAACTTCAGCGGAAGAAGTTTGATCACGTTGAAAGGCGTCAACTGGGTAACCATGACTCAATAAGGCCTTCGATTCAGATACTTTCAGATGCTAGATATCTAGAATCAGTATGAAAACGGGGACAGGAACAAGATTGAAGCTGATTGAAGACTATTGAAGAGCGCACAGGAACAAGTATGAGCAGGGAATTGAGTGTGTCTTAGTTCCATTCGGAGAATCGCGAAGTCCCGACTGAACCCGAACCTACCCGAGCGCGCAATCGTAAATGGTTACAACATGCTGTAACATGCTAAAACGTTCTTGTGCGGACGATGTAGCCAGATCCCGCCGTAGTAGCGGATAAGGCCTTTGCCAAGGAAAAAGTATCGAGAAGAACCTCAAGAATAGTCACCGCAACGCCTCACATCGCTCTATGACCTGGCGAGAAGCCGAGCGCGCTGTCTTCGGCCCTGAATCGTTGGATTGGT